GGAGCTAGAGACCAAACAGGAACTTGAAAGATGAGGAAGAGGGAGGCGGGGACGATGGAGTGAAATAGGGAGGCATTCCAGGGAGAGGAAGCAGCTTTACTAGAAGTCTGAAGCTGAGAAACACATGGCACATTGGAGAAACAGCAGCAGTTTTGCAAGACCCTAAGATCGCTCAGGCTAGAGCGTGGAGATTTGATGGAGATGGAGAGGTGACCAAGGCTGGACAGAGGAGGCAGGGTAAGATGCTGCAGTGAGTCACAAGAGAGGTGATGTAGAATTGGTGGAGCAGGAGATGAAGCAGGTGCGTTGTGGGACATGAGTGGAAGGTGAAGTCGAAGCCGCGGGTGAGGCTGAGCGTCATAGCATGAAGCACTGAGCTGGCAAAATGAAAGAAGAGGCAAGTCTGAAAGGAAAGGTGGGGAGTTATGTATGGGACCCGGTGAGTCGGGGTCCCGTTGGAGATATCCAGGAGAGAGACGAATGTGTGACACAGGTTGTTGTCATAAAGTATGAGACTGCCATGTATTACACAAAGACCACCAGGATGGCTGAACAGTAGAAAAGAGCTTTATTGGCAATAGCAGTTTGCAAACTGGGAAGAGTGTACCAAAGGTGCCCTCTCTTCAGAGAGGGAAAGTGCAGGCTGGTTTTCTGCCTCCCAGGATCCATATTACACAATAGAGTCAGATATGTTCAGAAAGTGTTAGGGAAAAGCCATCCATGTTTGTGAGGGGAGTGAAGCGCATGTGCCATGCGTAAACATAAATGTAACACACATCCCAGGTTCACTCTGGGGCAGAGTTTTAACATTAAAGCAGGGTGCTAAATTCGGCTCTTTACATCAAAAGGCAAATTGTTGGACACAATGACATTTTGTATGCAGCGTCTGTAAGCTGCTGAAACCTGCTTGAGGTCTGCTGCTGCTTATCAAGAAAGAATGCCTGGAAGGATGGTCCCCTGTCTAATAAGAGTTGCAGGGGTCTGGGTTGTAAATCAGTTAGGAAGGGTCTCACGCTTCACCTGATTGCTCCTATCATTAGTGAGACTAACAAAGGTGTGTTTTTCCTGTAGCTGTGGGAATTTAGGAGGTTATGACAGCCAAGCCCTGGACCCTCAACCCCTGGCTAACTTTTGTTTCTTGAACCTTAGAGTTCATCTTAGTTGATGAAGGGGTAACTGTCTTGGTCTCTCAGATCACTTGTGGAATGGAGAGTGAAGATGAGCCCAACTAAAATTTGCAGAGCACAGAGGACAGATCACACAAGCTTAGTCCTGAGGCATGCTATTCCAGCACTTGTATTTTTGTATACAGAAACTCTCCTTTCTATATTAATACCCAGGGAAATCCCCCTTCTCCCTGCCATTCACTGTGAACACAAAAAGGCAACCCACAAAAATTGTTTATGTTAATTTCTTTCTTGTATATACATTACACATTTTCTTGGCTCTTAATATAGACAGATAGATACACATATTTTTACATACACATGGATACATACATATACACACACAAATATGTACTTACACATACACCCACACATATATGTGTGTCTGTTAAATGGATTCTGATAATTTACGTACCCAGCAGCATTGTATGAAAGTGTGTGACTCATTTTGTCCTTACCAACATTAAGTAAGAGCATTTCAAAAATTTGATAATTGCACAGGCAAAAACATATTATT